CGAAGACGGTGCGGGCAGCCACGCAGGTGTGACCCGGCGAACGGCATGCTCCGTGCAGGACTTTGTGGGCAAAACTCCCTGTTCCGCCTCCTGCCCTGCGGCGACTCAAGGTCAGACTCTGAAAGTGGGACTTCCCGTCTCCCTCTCTCACCGGAGAAGACGCTGCCTGTGTTTGTGCAATGAAGGAGGCGGGACTTCTGGGCTTGGGGAGACTCCAGCTGACCTAACAGTATGGTTGCAAATCACCAAGCAGGCCAAGACGTGGGGGCCGTGCAGCGAACTGGAGGCGGGAGGGGGGTGTCCTTGCTGTGCCACTCCGAGCCAGAGAGAGAGGCCCCACCTCATCCCTGAAAAGGTCTTCCTCTGTCCACTTCCGCCTCCCCCAGACCATGCCCATCGTCTTCCAGAGTCTTCATCTTAAAACAGACCAGATCACCTGTCCTCTTGCCTTTGAACCAGTGGTTCCCAACCTTTTTTTGGCACACCTAAAATCCTGATGCTTGCCAAAACTGGTTTGGCTCAGTGGAAAGAGCGTTGGCCTGCAGACTGAAGGGTCCCAGGTTTGGTTTCAGTCAGGGGCATGTGCCTTGGTTTCGGGCACATCCCCAGTGGGGGACGTGCAGGAGGCAGCTGATCGATGTTTCTGTCTTTCTCTCTCTCTCTCTCTCTTCCTCTCTGTAAAAAATCAATAAAATATATTAAAAAAAAATAATAAATAGAATCCTGATGCTCCTCTCCCACTCCCGTGACATAGAATTCTTATTATTTAAAAAGTGAACGTTGGAGGAAGCCTAAAAAGCCATTAGCTTAGTCTAAACAAGGTTCCAAAAAAACATTTCATCCGTGAAAGAAAGATAAAAGAACGAAAGAACAGTTGAGGTACTGAGGAAGAAATCACTAAGAAATTGTTAAAAATAGTAATAATAGCCAAAACCGGTTTGGCTCAATGGATAGAGTGTCGGCCTGTGGACTGAAAGGTCCCAGGTTCGATTCTGGTCAAGGGCACGCATGTATTTGGTTGCGGGCACATCCCCAGTGGGGGTGTGTGCAAGAGGCAGCTGGTCTATGTATCTCTCTCATCGATGTTTCTAACTCTATCCCTCTCAATTCCTCTCTGTGTAAAAGTCAATAAAATATATTTTAAAAAAATAAATAAATTAAAAAGAACACAGTCACTGTCCTTTTTTTTTTAATAGTAATAATAATATAAAGTGATTTGAAAAAGTAGCAAATAAAGTTTTGAAACATGTAATAGAGAAATGAAATGCATAAATATGTCACCATACAGTATATGAGGCCCCTGGAACCATAAGAAATGCAAAAAATTCACCGTCAATAACTCATTCTCATATTGCCCCCCTTAAAAAATCAAATTGCCCTCCCTCCCCCGTGAGGCTGGGTGCCCCACATCGGGAACCACTGCTTTCAACCCTTATCTGGTTGCTCATTGCTCTTCAGATGTTGTCCAAACGCCTCATCACGACCTTCAAAGCATTGTGGTTTGACCTCTCTTGACCTTCCTGACCTCCCCGTCCAGCCCTCCCCCTGCCACTCCAGTGGCACAGGCCTCTCTCTACCACGGTATTCTGGCCCCAGGCCTTTGCTCCTAGCGCCTGCTGCGTCTGGAGCACGGAGCTTTTTCCTGTGTGTGCGGCACATTTCCCAAGCATAAAGGTGGCAGCTACCATCTGAGAAGACGCTCCTCCAACCCCTGCCTCAGTCATGGGTTAGGCTCTGGAGACCCTGAACCTTCTGCTTCTCCTCTGTGAATACATCCTGACTTGTTTAGCCTCTGACTCCCACTCTATACGGAGAGCTCTGTGGACAGAGACAGAGACCACGCCACCATCCCCAGAACTTCACACAGAGCCTAGCACACAGCAGGCGATGTACCCGATAAAAGGGTAACATGCTAATGGGCTGTACCTTTGCGATGCGCACCAGCCAATCAGGAGTGAGTATGCAAATTAACCCAACAAAGATGGCGGGCTAATTTGCATAGCAGGCGCTGAGCAGTCAGAGCAGAAAGGCAGCTCTGGCCAGCAGCCAGGGAAAGGAAGGCCCATTCCTACACGAATCTTTGTGCACTGGGCTTCTAGTCAATAAATATACGGTAGGTGAACTGCTCAGATGTGTGGGTGCCAGCAATGCTTTCCTTTATCAGCAAGGCTTCCCCTTGGAAATGAAGGGGTGCATCATTGAAGATTCTTTTGGATGCGATTAATGAAATAAGTGGTGGCAAGAAACATGGAGGTGGGTGGTTGGGTTCAGGCTGGTGCCGCATCTTAGAGACCCCGTCAAAGACCTGGGCTTACTGCATCCTCAGGGGGTCGGCAGGTTGCCTCAGGTAGCAAGATGGCTGCTGCAGCTCCAGGCATCACATCCTCGACCCATCTCCTGAGGGGGGCAAAGCTCCCTTGAAGCCTGCCAGAAAGCGTCCCCCGTGTCATTGACCCAGAAGGCAGTGAAACCAAACCTCTCATCCTGTATCATGGGGAGTGGGGTGGGGGGCGACGGGTCTGACAGCAGAGAAAGGGGAAGCACAGAACGAAAGCACAGGCCACTGGCCTCTGTCTCAGGGAAGGAGAGGAGGGGAGGCTTTCTGGTTAAGGTTTGGGGTGCAAGAGGCCGCTGGGAAATAGAGCTCATGTTGAAGAGCTGAGGACTGGAGTCCTGGATACCTGGACCCTCCATAGCTCTTTTTTAAATATGTATATTATTGATTTTCTACAGAGAGGAAGGGAGAGGGATAGGGAGTCAGAAACAGCGATCAGTTGCTTTCTGCACACCTCCCACTGGGGATGTGCCCACAACCAAGGTACATATCCTTGACTGGAATCGAACCTAGGACCTTTCAGTCCACAAGCTGATGCTCTATCCACTGAGCCAAACCGGTTTGGCATATATATATATTATTGATTTTCTACAGAAAGGAAGAGAGAGGGAGAGAGAGTCAGAAACATTGATAAGAGAGAAACATTGATCAGCTGCCTCCTGCACACCTCCCCCTGGGGATGTGCCCACAACCAAGGAACATGCCCTTGATGGGAATCAAACCTGGGACCCTTCAGTCTGCAGGCTGATGCTCTATCCACTGAGCCAAACCGGTTAGGTCTGTAGCTCTTTTATATCCGGTAGAGTTGTCATTTCTTTTTTGATCCCCGGAGACAGAAAACCTAAGGCACATTGCCTTAAACACACTGGGGACTTGGCGTGTGTAAGTGAAGGAGGGCAGCAGATGCGTTTTGACCCAGTAGCTCACAGGCTGTCAGCGCGGGCCCAGTTTCTCTAGGCCTTCTGCTCTGTGCCAGGTCTGTCCCAAACCTCCCCAAGAGAAAGAGGACAGAGGAAATGATGCTGGGGGGAGGGGGGCACTGCTCATGACCATGACCCTTTGACCTCCCTGCACCCGAATCCTTTCCATTGACGTGGACACCCGCAGGCGGAGGCTTTGGAAAAAGGCGTTTATTGGTGTGGTGGTCTCAACACTCCCCATGGATCGGAACACACGGCCCCCAGGGCCCGCCCGCCCCCTCCCGCGCGGCCCTCCCCCTCCCATCTCCGTCCCCCCTCCCCGGACCCTGGGAATGGAAGACAATGTGGGATGGGGCCCACGCCCCTGTCTGAGGTACAGTCACTGCCCCTTGCCCCTCCCCCCTGCCCCTGCTCGGTCCCCCCTGACCCCCAAACGCTGGGTGGAGTGGCTCGGGGTGGGTGTTGGTAGCGGGTCTCCCGGGAGTCGGAGCTGGAGACTCCGTCTCGTCCCGGCTCCAGATGTCTGTGTGGGACCCCTGGCCCCCCAGTTGGTGGGATGTGGCGTGCCGGTGTGGGGTGCTCCTACAATCGGAGGCTAGAGCCCCGAAGTGCCACCTCCTGACAATGGTTGGCCACCCTTCAGGGAACCACAGCTGGAGCCAGGAGGCTATTGCTGGTCCATCGCTGGTGTGTGTGTGTGTGTGTGTGTGCACGCGTGCGCGGTCAGGTCAGCCTTTGGGAGGTGCAGTTGGTGGAGAGAGAGCCGGGGAGGGGTAGACCAGCACACCCATCGGTGTGGGCAGCTGCAGGGGCGTGGAGGGCAGCTTGTTGGCACTGCAGGCGGCCACAGGGCGTGGGGGTTGGGCAGGGAAAAGCACTGAGACAGGTGGCCATGGGCACCAGCCTGACAGTTGGATGGAAGCACCGGTTGGCCCAGGAAGGGCCCAGAAAGTCCAGGGAGAGGGGAGTGGGGGGAGGAGCGGGGACAGGGGAGGAGGGAGGTCTCAGGCTGTGAATCAGGGATGGAGCCTGGGCTGCAGGCAGTGGGTGGCTGACAGCAGGGGGACCCGGGATCCAGATGGATACCCCCACCTGCTCACAGCAGCCGGTGGACAGCTTGACACCCCTCCCCACTGCCAACCCGCCCAGCAGCGAGAAGTGGGGGGTGTGCGTGCATATACTGGGGAGCAGGGGTGTGGATAACCTCCTCTCACAGCTTCTGCCACGGAAGCCCCTATACCTACCTCCAGCCCTGGGGGGGGGGGGGAGGCAGCAGGGTGAGGGCAGTGGACATGGGGGTGTCGGGAAGGGAAGATCGGAGCCCCCTTCCCCTCCCTGCCCACGCACTCCCATACACACACACACACACACACACACACACACACACACGTGCAGGCTCACACGCTCGCACGCGCACACTCCCACTCCCCACTTGCGGTCCGGTCCGGGGGCCAGCCTGAGCTGAGAGAGGGCTGGGAGGGGCGGGGGTGGGTGGGTCAGTCACAATCAGAAACGTGAACGGTGGCGAGAATGGCTGTAGAAAGATGCATAATTTTGCGTTATCCCTCACAGTGATGGGTTTCTCTGAAGATCTTCCTCCTCCTGCCTCCTCCTTCCTTGGCAGCGGAGAGAGTGCGCTCTTCCGCCCCCCGGAGACCCACGCCGCCTGCTCCCCCTCCTTTTCCTCTTGCTCTCGGCTCAGGCCCCCTGCAGGGGAGGGGGAGGCCAGCTGCTCTGGGTTCTTCCTACATCCTCCACCACAGCCAGCCCAGGGCGGAGAGGAGGGTCAGGGGTCCGGGGGGCCTCGGGGCTGAGTTCTCCACGGAGCCTGGGCCTGGGGAGAGAGAGGGGGGGAGGAGGGGATGTCACCGAAGGAGGCCTGGGAGGAGGAGGGAGGCCCCGTGCTTGTCTCTCTCAAGGCCCCGAGGGTCTCCTTGGAGGCTGCCTCTCCCGGGGCCATTCTGAACCTTTCACTCCTGGGCACGTGCCCTTGACCGGAATCGAACCCGGGATCCTTCTGTCTGTGGGCCCTCTCTCGCATGGATATTTCTCTGTCTTTCCCTCTCCCTTCCACTCCCTCTGATGAAATCAATGGGAACGTATCCTCGGCTGAGGATTAAAATAAATAAAGGTTATACTCCCAGGAAGCTTTCTTGATGGGGCGATCTAAGGCTACCATCCCCGACCCTGTGTTTTCTGGCTTAGTTATGGGTATGTGTGTTTGCTTCTCATTTTTATTTATGTGCCTATTTGTTTATTGCTTTTTCTGCTACGATGAGACCATACATTCTGCGAGCCCCTGCAGCTTGCCTCCCTGGCACTGCTGTGTCCTTAGCGGGCACTCAGGGAATTGATCATCTGGAAGGGATCGGTATCTTGTTCGATTATATTGCTGGGGTCCCAGCTTCCTCTCTGGAGCATTCAAGGCACCTCCACCGCCCAGACCCCGCCCACCCCCACACCACCCACCCCGCAAACCTCGCTCACCCCGTAAACCCCACCCACGCCGCCCAGGCTCCTCCCCCCCTCACTCGGCCCCGCCCCCGCCGCCCCGCGCTCAGACGCACGAAGGAGCCGCATGGAGGCGCTGGACGCTCCGAGTCGGTTGGCGGCGCGACACGTGTAGTTGCCGTAGTGCCGGGCGCTCACGTTGGCGAAGAGGAGCATCGAGCGGGTGCGCTCCGTCTGCACCTTCAGGCCCTCGGCCGCGCCGCTGCTCAGCCTGCGGGGACCCAGGGCGGGGGGGGCGGGCCGTGACCCCTCGGGGCGCAGAGCCAGGCCCTGGACTCTCAGGCTTCCCAAGCCCCCAGAGACCCCAGAGACAGACAGACAGACACACACACACACACATGCACACACACATGCGCGCGCGCACACAGCCTCCAGGTCATGGATCCTGGGCCACTGCTGCCGACGCCCCTCTCCAGGCACCCCTGTCCCCCACCCTGGGACACTGGGCTCCCTCCCCACCCCCTTCTCCCCCCCCCCCCCCCGCCAGGGACTCCCGGACCCTACTGGCCCCAATAATCTCGCAGTGTTTCCCAAAGTGTGGTACGCGTACCCCCAGGGGTACGGGAAGAGTTTGGTGGGGGTACGTGTTGCACCGGAGTTTGGTGGGGATGTGCACTGCACCGTGCTTAGCTGCGCCTAATTCTACGTTCTCATGAGTACGAGGGGTACTCAGCGTTTCGAAAATGATAGAAGGGGTACACATATGTCAAAAATTTGTGAAACACTGAATTCTAAAGCGTCCCGGCCAGGTCCTCCGCAACGACCCGACCTTCTCCCGGGATGCATGGGGAGAAAAGGTCACCCCCCTCCAGGAGGGGCAAGGCAGGAGGTGGAGGCCCAGCATTCATCACCGAAGGGCCCAAGCTCCCAGGAAGGGCCCACCAGCTCGCTCAGGGGCCGCGGACCCATCCCTGAAAAAGCTGGACCCGCCCCTCTGTTCTCAAGACTGAGGACCGTTCAGTTTCCCTTGGGCACCGCCCCCTCCTCCCCATTCCCGCCCTCCCGCATGCGCTCCCGCCCAGGGGTGGGGGATGCAGGGCAGGCGCTGTCCTCACAGCCTGTCGTCCTTGTACCACTGGAATTCCGCGGGGGGCACCGCCATGGCCTCGCAGCGCAGGAGGGCAGCCCGGCCCGGGGCCGTGCGGGCGCTGGTCACGTCGGTGATGGTGGGAGGATCTGGTGATGGGCGGGGAGTCAGCGGATTCTCCCAGCCCCCCTCCTCCCTCCTTCTCCAGAGCCCAGACCCCCCAACCTCTCCTTCCCCAGGACCTCTGGCCTGGGGACCCAGGGCCCGCCCCCCTTCCCTGCGCACAGGGACAGAGGTGATGGAGTCGGTGATGGGGATGGTGATGGAGATGGGGATGGTGATGGTGATGGAGATGGTGACGATGGTGATAGAGATGGAGATGATGGTGATGGAGATGGAGATGGTGATGGTGTTGGAGATGGTGATGGTGATGGAGATGGTGATGGTGATGGAGATGGTGATGGTGATGGAGATGGAGATGGTGATGGAGATGGAGAAGGTGATGGTGATGGTGTTGGAGATGGTGATGGTGATGGAGATGGTGATGGTGATGGTGATGGAGATGGGGATGGTGATGGAGATGGTGATGGAAATGGTGATGGTGATGGAGATGGTGATGGTGATGGAGATGGTGATGGAAATGGTAATGGTGATGGAGATGAAGATGGAGATGGTGATGGTGATGGAGATGGTGATGGAGATGGTGATGGTGATGGAAATGGTGATGGTGATGGAGATGGTGATGGTGGTGGAGATGGTGATGGTGATGGAGATGGAAATGGTGATGGTGATGGAGATGGTGATGGAGATGGTGATGGTGATGGTGTTGGAGATGGTGATGGAGATGGTGATGGAGATGGTGATGGAGATGGAGATGGTGATGGAGATGGAGATGGTGATGGTGATGGTGATGGAGATGGTGATGGTGGTGGAGATGGAGATGGTGATGGTGATTGTGTTGGAGATGGTGATGGAGATGGAGATGGTGATGGTGATGGAGATGGAGATGGTGATGGAGATGGTGATGGTGGTGGAGATGGTGATGGAGATGGTGATGGAGATGGTGATGGAGATGGAGATGGTGATGGTGATGGTGATGGAGATGGTGATGGTGATGGAGATGGTGATGGAGATGGTGATGGTGATGGAGATGGTGATGGTGGTGGAGATGGAGATGGAGATGGAGATGGTGATGGTGATGGTGATGGTGATGGTGATGGGGGGCTCACAGTTGACGGTGACCAGCACGCGGCGGCTGTCAGGCGCTGAGTTGACCCCATTGTGAGTCACGCACTCATACTCCCCGGCCTGGCCCCGCTGGATGTCGGAAATCTCTAGGATCTCGCCCTCCGAGGTGAAGCCATCTGTGGAGGTTGGGGAGGGAGGGGGCGGGGCCAGACACAAACACTTAACACGGGACAACACGGGCACAACACGGACACACATCAGTGGGGCAGGCACCGCAGGGCCTCAGTGCCCGGGGCCAATGGGAGATAGGCAGGGCCTGAGGGTGGGGTTGGGGTGGGGAGGCGCTGGGACCTCCTGCTAGGGGTGGGCAGGGAGTGAGATCTGGGCTTAATAATTGGAACCCAGAAGGGAGGGTCCTAGCGTTTGAGGGTGCAGGTGATCCAGATATCTGGGGAGCACATGATCCAGATCATGGGGCTCAGAATACCCTGGGGGAGGGGGGGAGAATTCCAGAATCTTGGGGTTCAGAAAGATCCAGGAAATACAGACCCAATGGGGCAGGGTCCTGAGTTCTGGGATCTAGCTCTTGGGGTTCAGAGACTAGGGATTAATAATCTGGACACATAGAGTCTTATGACAGATCTGGGCTCAGAGACACTTTGGGACTTAGAGCACCTGGGAAACCAGGACCTTAGACCAGGATTGTGGGGTTCTGATGACCCACTGGGGGAGGATCTGACACCTAATTATTGGGTTCTGGCGTCTCAAGGTGTCCAACGATTGGCACACCTTGTCCAACGACTGGCCTCCAAAGACCCAGGGAATGAGGATCTAGAGATGTGGGAATTGGTGATGAGATCCAGATAAAAAGGGAGATATCAGATCTGGGAAGTCACGCTGTGGCAGCTTGGGACTATGTTTGAGGGTAGCCTAGGGAGTGGTTCTCAGCTTGACCGTTGGAATCACCTAAAGGGCTTATTAAAGCATGGAGATGGTGATAGATATGGTGATGGAGATGGTGTGATGGTGATGGTGATGGAGATGGTGTGATGGTGATGGTGATGGAGTGGGGATGGAGATGGAGATGGAGATGGTATTAGAGAAGGGGGTGGAGATGGTGATGGAGATGGTGTTGGAGATAGAGAGGTTGATGGAGATGGTGATTATGATGGAGATGGAAATAGTGATGTTGATGGAGATGGTGATGGAAATGGTGATGGAGATGGAGATGGTGATAGTGATAAGATGGAGAGGAAGATGGAGATGGAGATGGAGATGGTGATGGAGATGGAGATGAAGATGGAGAGGGTGATGGAGATGGAGATAGAGATGGAGAGGGTGATGAAGATGGAGATGGGGATGGTGATGGAGATGGAGATGGGGAGGGTGATGGAGATGGAGATGGTGATGGAGATGGTGATGGAGATGCAGAGGGTGATGAAGATGGAGATGGTGATGGAGATGGAGATGGTGATGGGGATGGGGATGGGGATGGGGATGGAGATGGAGGTGGAGATGGAGATGGAGAGTGGAGGTGGAGATGGAGATGGAGATGGAGGTGGAGATGGAGATAGAGGTGGTGATGGAGGAGATTTCTAGTCATCTGGTCTGGGGTGGGACCAGGACTGTGCTTTTCTGGCAAGTCCCCAGGTGATACTGATGCTGCCATTTTTTGGGAACGCACTGTGGGAACTGCTGGGCTGGAGCATCCCAGGTGACCAGAGGGCGAGGATGTGGGTTGGGCTATTGGCCATGACCTGGCTCAGACCTCCCAATGGCATAGGGCCCTGAGTCCAGGAGAAGCCTGTGGCTGGTGGGGAAGACACTGCGGATACTGGGGGTGGGGACAGGGTGGAGCGAGGGGAGGAGGGGCAGGGCTGGAATCTAACGGACGATGTGGAGGGTGCGGCCCAGGCCTGGGATGCAACTCATCACGAGATCACGGCTGGGGGGACGGAGGGCTCTGGACATCTGGCTAGGGACACGGGGAAATACGGGTCCCAAACTGGGGAGCAGGAGAAGGGGCTTAGGGGCAGGGGTGAGGTCCTCACCTCGAAGTTGCCTCCAGGTGACTGTGGGCTCCGGCCGCCCCACAGCCAGGCAGAGCAGGTTCACGTTACCCCCCTCATTCACCGTCACGGGCGAGGAGATGTTCACGATGCGGGCAGGGACTTCGGGGAGGGGAGACAGGTCAGCGACAGGCTGGGTATGGGCTCCCCGGACCCAGGAGGCCAGGCCCCGGCCCCTCCTCCCTCAGACCCAGGGGTCAGGCCCCCAGCCCCTCCTCCCTCACATCTCCAGTTCCTCCTCCCTCTGACCCATGAGTCCAGGCCCCCAGTCCCTCCTCCCTCAGACCCAGGGGTCCAGACCCCCAGCCCCTCCTCCCTCAGACCCAGGGGTCAGGCCCCCCAGCCCCTCCTCCCTCAGACCCAGGAGGCCAGGCCCCGGCCCCTTCTCCCTCAGACCCAGGGGTCAGGCCCCCCAGCCCCTCCTCCCTCAGACCCAGGAGGCCAGGCCCCGGCCCCTTCTCCCTCAGACCCAGGGGTCAGGCCCCCAGCCCCTCCTCCCTCTGACCCAGGGGTCAGGCCCCCCAGCCCCTCCTCCCTCACATCTCCAGTTCCTCCTCCCTCTGACCCATGAGTCCAGGCCCCCAGCCCCTCCTCCCTCTGACCCATGAGTCCAGGCCCCCAGTCCCTCCTCCCTCAGACCCTGGGGTCCAGGCCCCCAGCCCCTCCTCCCTCAGACCCAGGGGTCAGGCCCCCCAGCCCCTCCTCCCTCAGACCCAGGAGTCCAGGCCCCCAGCCCTCCTCCCTCAGACCCAGGAGTCCAGGCCCCCAGCCCTCCTCCCTCAGACCCAGGAGTCCAGCCCCTCCTCCCTCACATCTCCAGTTCCTCCTCCCTCTGACCCATGAAGTCCAGGCCCCCAGTCCCTCCTCCCTCAGACCCATGAGTCCAGGTGCCCAGCCCCTCCTCCCTCAGACCCTGGGGTCCAGGCCCCCAGCCCCTCCTCCCTCAGACCCAGGGGTCCAGGTCCCCAGCCCCTCCTCCCTCAGACCCAGGGGTCCAGGTCCCCAGCCCCTCCTCCCTCAGACCCAGGGGTCCAGGTCCCCAGCCCCTCCTCCCTCAGACCCAGGGGTCCAGGCCCCCAGCCCCTCCTCCCTCAGACCCAGGGGTCCAAGCCCCCAGCCCCTCCTCCCTCAGACCCAGGGGTCCAGGTCCCCAGCCCCTCTTCCCTCAGACCCAGGAGTCCTGGGCCCCAGCCCCTCCTCCCTCAGACCCAGGAATCCAGGCCTCCAGCCCCTCCTCCCTCAGACCCTGGAGTGCAGCTGACTTTTCCTGTCTTTCTGTTAGATTTCTCTGGTTTCCTCTTCCTCTGTATTTGGCTTCATGTCTAACTTCTGTCTTCCTCACTCTTCCTCTGTCTCGGTCTCTCTCTGCCTTCATCCTATCTTGGCTTTTCTATCTTCTGTCCTGAGTTTCTCTCTCCCCATCTCTATTTTGAATCATTTGTTATTATTACTTTTAAAAAATAGCTCATTTTACAAATGCTCCCTTGTGCTTATGGTGTGGAAAACCTATTCTCAGTGCTTTGCAAAAATTAGTTTATGAAACCCTCACGGCCACCCTCCCTCCGGGGTAGATGTGGCTGTGTCCAGCAATTCTGACCCACGTAGATGTTTTAAATTTTATTTATTACTTCTTATTTGTTTGTTTAATCCTGACTCAAGGATGATTTTCCATTGATTTTGAGAGAGAGTGGGAGAGAGAGGGAAAGACAGAGAAATATTGATGTGAGAGAAACACATGGACTGGCTGCCTCCCTCAGGAGCAAGGTACGTGCCCTTGACTGGAACTGCAGCCGGGACCTTTCCATCCGCAGGCAGACGCTCTCTCCTTTAAGCCAAAGGTGGCTAGGGCTGTTTCTTTTATTTTTTAAAATTATATTTCATTGATTTTTTCACAGAGAGGAAGGGAGAAGGATAGAAAATTGGAAACATCAATGAGAGAGAAACATCCATCAGCTGCCTCCTGCACTCCTCCTACCGGGGATGTGTCTGCAACCAAGGTACATGCCCTTGACCGGAATCGAATCTGGGACCTTTCAGTCCGCAGGCCGACGCTCTATCCACTGAGCCAAACCGGTTAGGGCAATTTTATTATTATTATTTTTTTACCCCACTTGATCATGCCTCTATATCAGGATGCCAGAGTTTCATTGGCAGGGTTTTTCCTTTTCCAGCAGAGCATACAGTAAAGGAGTTCCTTGCAATTGCTGATGTCTTAGAAGTGCTGCGTGTGAGAGTCTGAGCCCCCCCCCCCCCTTGCTCAGGGCCCCTCAGCTAGTGCTGGTGCCCAGATTGGAGCCAGACGGTGGGACTTGTTCGACTGGACTGTCCCTGTGCCTGGGTTCCCGTCTCTGCGAATGCTCCCTCCTTTCAGCCCATTTCTGATGGCATGTGAGGCAGCCTCATCTCTCTCCCTCCCTCCTGCCCGCTCTGTGGACCTCCCCGGTCCTCTCTGGCCCACTCTGAATGCAGATGCATCCTGCCACGCAAGGCCCCTCTGGGCACACCTGACTCATCTCCTCCCCTGGGCGCCCGTGCCCAGCGCTCTTGCCTGGTGCCAGCTCTGCAGCCGTCTCGGCTCAGACATCACACCTGGGCAGCCGCCTCTGCTTGGAAAGCCACCTCCAGAGGCCTGGGAGCAGCCTGATGGCCTCCTTCCTCACCCCGAGCTTGGAGCAAATGTCTGCACACAGTAGGTGCTCAACAAATGGGGCTAAGCCAGGGAATAGGGTCTTCCTGGGAGCACACCTTCTTCCCCTCACCCAGTAGCCACACCGAAGGGCCCTATCTGGGTGCCTGTCCCTCCCTCTTTTTTTTTTTTTTTTTTTAATTAATATATTGATTTTTTGCAGAGAGGAAGAGAGAGGGACAGAGAGAAACATCGACCTGCTGCCTCTTGCACATCCCCAGTAGGGGATGTGCCCGCAACCAAGGTGCATGCTCGAACCTGGGACCTAAGCTCTATCCACTGAGCCAAACCGGTTTCAGCTGTCCCTCCGTCCAGCCTGAAATCCACAAGGTCAGGGCTGTGGCTGCCTCCCCGTGGGCGGAGCCTGGACGGCGCCCCGCCCTGACCACGCCCCCAGCACCCAGGCCCCGCCCCGCCCCCAGGCCCAGGCCCCGCCCCCGCTCACCGTGCACGATGAGGTAGACCTGAGTGGTGTAGGGCTGGTGGCGGGTCTGGAAGGAGCAGGTGTAGAGGCCCTCGTCGCCCAGCCCCACCTGGGTGATGAGGATGGAGAACTCCTCGGGCGTGTTGATGAGCAGCCGCACGCGCGGGTCGCTGGTCCAGCGGTCGTTGCCCGCGTACAGGATGTTGGAGCGGTTCAGCCAGGCCACGCGCGTCACGTGCTCGTCGATGAAGCAGCTGCGGGGAGGGAGGCGGAGGGGAGGCAGGTTCTTCTCTCTCTCCCCCCCCTTCCCTCCCCCTGGTGCCCCCCAGCCAGGCCCTCCAGGGTCTCCCATCGCAGGTGCGGCGGGAGCCCGGCCCTGGGAGGCGGAGGTGGCTGTGCCCACTCCTTCCCAGGGGGGTGGCCTGAGCCCCAGGGCGGGAGGGGGAGGGGGAGCTCAGGTGAGCATGGAGCGGTAGCTGCCGGGTATGAAGTGATGGTTTTGCCAGAGACCCAGAGAGAGGAGGAAGGACGCTCTGGGCGAGAGGGACGGAGATGCATCAAGAGGAGGGACACAGGCCCAGAGAGAGGGGGATAGCAATCCAGACAGAGGGGCAGGGGTGCAGAGAGAGGGGAACAGAGACCCGAGGGGCCGGATAGAGACCCAGAGTGAGCGGGACAGAGATTGAGAGAGAGAGAGAGAGAGAGAGAGAGAGAGAGAGAGAGAGAGGGAGACAGGGACCCAGAGGGAGGGGGACGGGGACACAGAGGGAGGGGGACAGAGATTCAGAGAGAGAGAGAGAGAGAGAGAGAGAGAGAGAGAGAGAGAGAGAAGAAGAGGAAGAGAGGGAGACAGGGACCCAGAGGGAGGGGACAGGGACCCAGAGGGAGGGGGACGGGGACACAAAGGGAGGGGGACGGGGACACAGAGGGAGGGGGACAGAGATTCAGAGAGAGAGAGAGAGAGAGGGGGGAAGAGGAAGAGAGGGAGACAGGGACCCAGAGGGAGGGGGACGGGGACCCAGAGGGAGGGGGATGGGAACACAGAGTGAGGGGGACGGGGACTCAGAGGGAGGGGGCAGGGTCCCAGAGGGAGGGGGCAGGGTCCCAGAGGGAGGGGGCAGGGACCCAGAGAGAGGGAGACAGGGACCCAGAGGGAGGGGGCAGGGTCCCAGAGGGAGGGGGCAGGGACCCAGAGGGAGGGGGCAGGGACCCTGAGGGGGCAGAGGCTGAGGCCTGGGAGCGGGGACCCTGGCTCTCAGGGACTCAGCAGCCTCAGTGTGCCGCTCTCTCGCTCGGTGTGTGTGAGTGTGTCTGTGTGTCTGTGTGTGTCCAGAACCTTGACTCCCACAACAACGGACACAGTGGTGACCACTCCTCCGCCCACTGGACAGACAGGGACGCCAGGCCCGGCGTCCGAGCCCCAAGGGCCTCTCCTGAGGGAGCGCGGGCTGTCAGGCGGGGCTGGGCTCCCAGGGGAGGGAGGCAGGACCTCTGGGCCCGCACCTGAGGGTGGCGTTGTCGCCTTCGCACACCGTGTAGTTGTCGGCGGGAGAGCTGAACTCCAGGCTCTGGGACAGCAGCC